CATGGCGACGGTGCGCAACTTTCGAGACTACATACGATAAATCTAACGTACTCAAAGTCTACATTCAATAATTCGTTTCTTATTCAGTTATTTAACACATACGAAAAATCACATGCACATTAAACTCACATATCTGAAGAAGAAGAAGAAGAAGAAGAACGAAAGGATGGTGGCAAACATTAGTTAGAATGATGTTTTACTGTGCGCCTATGAACAGCATGAAGGGCAGGTTCAGTCGACTGGATCAAAGGGTACTTTACTGTTCGATTCGATCAATACCATAATTTTCACGTCATGATGGGCAGGCTGGTGCCTGTAGCACGTCGAAGTTCTACATGCAATTAATACGGCAAATGTTTCCACTTATTGCAGCTCACAGCAGCCTTGCAACTAATACAATTTTATATGTGGAAAACACAGTCCACATTTCATCAAAGTTTACTTCCTATAACAGGATATGTTTCGGGCGCACAAACACGTATCTTTCTGATTGTAAATCGAAATACATAGCAACAATTTTATGCACTTTGCCTGTAATCGTTTAGACCTCACTTCATAGGTCCAGACAGTTCATAGTTCATCTGGGATACATGCTCCAGCTTCGCTCAGACTCCTGTTTCTCCCATTTATCATAAATCTAAGGCACCTCAGTAACTATCGAAGTGCTTAAGTAACCAACGTATCAATAAATCGACCAACGAAACAAAATCCCTTTCTTGCCCAGTAAGCACACGTTCCGTAGTCTCAATGACAATTTCTCCTATGGTAACATTCTTCCGATAACAACTGCAAACGCAGTAAATAACAATTTTTCGTTAAATCTCCGCTAAGACTTATCCCAATTCAGAACATAAATATGAGTGTAACATAAATATAACCAAAGGGCTCTGTTACATGGAGATAGTTCAGTTCAATATACATCGATAATCAATCATCTGTGATTTGTGGAATTCGTCTATTTTATGTTGCTACTATATTAAATGTTCTTTTGAAGTTTGATGTATGAACAAACATACAGACATTTTCTTTACATACCTATATTTAGTCAATAGCAAAGGTAACCGCTCTGTGGAACGGAAGATCAAAGCATTCCGGAATTTATAAACGAGTAGTATACTCAGTTCAGACGGCACGCGGACGTTTTTTAAACGTTACACTGAAATCAAATTGCGAAATATCAACCGACTGTTATCCTAAAAAAAAAGGGCTTCTCAACTGGAACACGATACAAGAAACGTAACTAATCCTCTAACGTTTAAAATAAAACGAACATAGGTGCGTGAAATTTGATGTTTTCGTGTCAGTGAAGAAGTCGATATTCTTCTGGGTTACAATCCTGTGTGCACAGAGCTGAAATGGAGATAGTGCTTTCCTCCGAAACATTGGTAGTTACCTCCAAGTTCACATAGCGTGTTGGAGTATGCATTAAGTAATTTCGTGCAAGCCTGATTGCCCGCAACCCAACACACATCAGTGCTCGAAGCTCGGCTGGACAATCACGAGCACAAAACATCATCATGATTGAGCGCACTAAATATAACCTTAGTACGGCAACACGGCATTGTGCGTTTCAGACGCCATTCGTTTTCAAGATCGACGAAGGCGTGCCTGAAATTTGACCAAATATTCTCCCAACTTCACTTGTTCTATGGAATGGCCCGACAAATCGTAAGTGAAATAGCCAACGCATTTCGTTGGGTCTCTGCGGGTCTAACCCGCTGTCAGCTGGCGGTAGTGACTCATCTGACCACAACGACGTCAGATAACATTATTAGAATCCTGCTGGCTTTACCTAATTACTACACTATATTGCATACATTTAAAATTGTAATTTCCGCCTTACATCTTCAAAATTACATTTTGCGGTTTGTAACAGCAGAATTTTAGTATGGGCACCCTCTGATCCATAATTAGCATTCAAACACAGTTGCCAGTGCAACATGCCATATTTATCCTCGTATTCTTTCAGAGCTGGATATGCACATACAATTCGCTAATTGTTTTAGCACACCGCAGGCCACAATGCGTTTGGGCTTGATGCGACGTCACAATATCAAACCATAATTTCAGTACAGATCATGAATTCCAATGGCATCGCCAGAACGCACGCAAAATACAAATTCGGCAAGCATGAAACATGACCCGAAGCAGTTTTCGTTGTCACTTAATTACATATTTTACATTTTAAATGTAGATTAAATAAATAAGTAAAGAATTTGGGTAACTGTAATACTACAGCAAACATTTTCGTATGCTCTGTGACTTTTATATTATGCAGGTCTATAGTTGGCATCACTGTCTTTGAAAGGATTTCCAGGACTATTTATTTAGTGTTCTGTCTGACGACAGGTCCATATGAACAGGATCCTTCCATCCTTTTCTCGGACTGGGACCTGTTCATATACGTTCTTGGCAGATGATCCAGAAGTGGTTTGCCATTGCCTTCTTCTGTGTGTGAATGGAGTAATTGTTGGGATGCCACGGAGAAACCGGGGAAGCCCCCGGAGGAAAACTCCGTGTTGCCTAGACCACGGCCTTGCCCAACACAAGTTATAAATTCGGGAACTGCCGGGAATCGAACCCAACAACCCAGGATTACAAGGCCAGCGTTCTAACCGCTAGACCACCGTGGCAGAGTCTTCTAGGACTACGCCATGAGAAAAGAAAAAAAATTAGGGCGGCAATCTTAGAACCACAGCCCTCAATAAACAGTTCTTAGGATATTAATGCCTGTAATAAAAACTGAACGTAACCGCAATAAGTAATTTTACGCGAAATCGCGTTCGGTAAAACCGCGTTGCACAAAGTTAATATTGCGTGCAATTAATGGGGATCCGGAACGCAGAGTGAAGAGATGTATTATATTTTATTCTGTGCTGTTAAGTTTTGTACAGGAAGGAGGATGTGAACATATGTTCGAGAGGATGTACGTATTTCCTTCTCCAGCACTGACACCGTTTGTCGGTCTCCAGAAACCTACGTCAACAAAGACTAATCGGAGGAACGGCGGATTGGGCAACTAAACACAATAAAATCCTTCTGTAAACATGGGAAATGAAATATTACGTCTTCTAAATTACTGCCTACCCCTCATGGCTCTGATACTTGGGCATACCAACATAATTCAACACAAGGCATGCAAATGATAACGACAAAATCAGCAATCATGCAGCCACCTAAACTGAAAACGAGTAACCCTTCTATTCTTATAAGTGGAAGGTGCTAAGTACTGAATGTACGGGGGAGAGGAGGTTAATGACTACAAACAAAGACATTTCCTACCATAAACCTTTGAGTACGACCGACCTGTAAAATAAATTACTATGTTATTAAGGGGATTTATCTAATTCAGCGTTTGGACTCTTGGTGCCACACAATGAACATTAAATTATATTAATATTTGCTTTGAATGCTAAATATGTGATGTTTTAAGTTTAACGACCTGTAAAACTACTCTCTGATAGGCACTTTATAGCACGTGAAAAATGAATCAATTTTTAATGACATCGCTATAAAACAACCATTCAAACACAACTACGAAACGCCACTTAATTTGAAAATCAGTTGTACAGGACACTTTTCATGCAAAGAACAAAACAATTCAATGAAACATCATTTTCACTTACTTTTAGGAGCGTGAGAATCTTCTGACTGAGGTCATAGTCAAAGTTGGAATATTTCGAGTCTGACATGTCGTAGATGAACACGAGGCCACATTTCTGCGTGTCGACACTCTCCAACGCGACATCCAGCTGGTACACGACCCCCTGCAGCCAAGAAGTGGCATATTAGGCAATTACCCAACTTCAAAACCAGCGGACTGCCAATATCTGTTCCAACTTTCGGCTTTCAGGTGTAAAACAATATTTCGGAAAACTTCACAGTTGCCATTTTGAATTCAATACCAAATGCGACGTTTGACAAAATGTCGGTTAATACCAAATATTCGGTGCAGCTCTCGCCCGAAAGCGTGAGCTATACATTGGACTCCGGACACAAGAATTTAAACAACTATTATGATTATCTTCCATCTTTTTGGAATACCTGGGGACTATCTCTGTAGCACGTCTAATGTGTTGGCATTTTTAAATGAAATGGGGATTTCGGAGGCAAAGTGATCGACAAGGTTTTAAAATATTTACTAATTAGTTTTAGATTGATAATTAAAGATCAGTGGGTTTTACTATGAAGAGTATACTACCGTTTGACATAATTACCTTAAAGACCTTGGCTCAGAAACTTCCAAGATGGAAGGAATACTTCAGTAACAACTTGTTAAAGAAGCGATGAAAACTTTTTAAAATAAGAACCTATTGATTGTAGCCAAATAATATTTAGTTCGATACGTAAACTGTGAGATGGAACTGTGTCACAGTTCTCTATTTTGTAATTCAAAACACAATGAACTGTTCCCTATATGAGAATCAAGGAACCTACGTATAACACAAAAACACAGCTAAAACGTATGGTTTCAATTAAAAGGCAAACGCTGAACTGAATACAGAATTCATGGCCTGCTGCAGTACAATCTGATATTTGAAGCCAAACAACAGGAAAGCCTACAAAACCTTCAGATCAAATCTACTGAAACATATAATAATTTGAAGAGTTCTGTCTTCTGGGTTGTTGAGCTGTGTAGTCTGGTCGATGTCTGATGACGGAGGCAGTATGACCTCTGAAACGTTGGTAAACATCTACCAGACTACACAGTGCAACAACCCAGAAGACGGAATTCTTCAGACTCAGCGCCATGAAAACCTCGAAGCTTACGTACAATAATTTCCAATTTATTCACATCATTTACATAACTGAAGCTGTATCAACGGCAAAACAGTACTTAACGTATGTAAATCCTTTGGAAAGTGCACATAATGAAATTTGAAATAAGACACGATAGTAAAATTTCTAAACTGAAAAATAACAAGAATTTCTTAATCTAGTCTTTCCTCTCATAGTTTCTTACAGAATCTGAATGTAATCGTGAATTTCTTTATTATTACTTTCTTAAATTCCCACAGATTTTCAAATGGTTCATAAACATGTAAAGAAACACGTGACAGTTGCGGTCATTTAAGTTTGGTTCTGGAATGATTTAAAATTATTCAGAAAAAACAGGCAAAAAATATTACCTAAGATAACATCTACTGAGTTTGCTATAAAACGAGATGTGAGCTCTCCGTAATCAAGAGGAAGTGAAAATCCGTGACTGCTCATTAACAATTACTCTCTATTTTAATTAAGTTCGCACGATAACAAAATCTCCCGGATATTAGGTAGAGAAGTGAGCTCTGGTTAAATTTCCATTTACGTCACTGCGTTTAATCACATACACGCGAGTGAAATTAAAGCTGAAAGCAGCAGGGACAAGTCTAATTCTGGTCAAAGACGGAGAAATGCAGAACTGTGAGTCACTAAACGAAATGAAATATCGTTAGAAGAAATCAGGTGGCAACTGTTTTTAACAAAACAATTATTTAAGTCCCACATATTCGCCGTTAGACAAGCACAAATACTATTAACCTGTCACTTATTTTTCGTGTAGTAACGGACACGAATGTAAACAAAACAATCACAACAAATCTCAGATTCATGCCTCCGGAAAAAGAAACTTTCTAAATGTTACGGGTGCAAAAAAAGAAGTAAAATTTGAGGTTCTCACGGCGATGAGGGTGTGTCTGTACAGTCTGGTACAAATTTACCCAATGGCTCTGATAATGAAGTCAGCAAACACCTCTGAAGACAGCCATCTGTTCTGAGACGTGCATTTGAAACTGTAAAGTAAAGTATAAAAGTAAAGTTTGTCCCACTACGCGCCATGTAGGCGTTTGGGGTGAGTGGAGGTATAGCTCCTCTCTTCCTTGACCTCGGCACTAGATGGGGGTGAGTGGTCAGCATCACGCCCTGGCCGGCTTTACCCCCGGGAAAGGACCCCGGTACCCATTGTAGAGGAGGCTGGGTGGGCCCCAGAGGCTAGAGGAAAAATCCTCTGCCCCCGTCGGGGATCGAACCCCGGTCGTCCAGCCCGTAACTAGTCACTATACTGACTGACCTATCCCGGCTCATCATTTGAAACTGTACCACTTCCAATTCACATGCAAACTTTCTCGAAATAAAGGACTGACGAATGCAGTGCGTAAGATATTACCTGAAGCGTCGTCTGATGGGATGATACCTGCGGACAATGCGTGCGAGCGGTGAACACAGCAATAGCGGCGCCCGTTGCATCCCGAGTTGGCTGAAACGATTTCGCCACACATTAAAGGAACAAACAGGAATAATCGTCTAAACTGATCTGCAACTGCTTGTAACACAAAGGTGGGTTGCTGGGGGGAAGACAGCATGCAGCGAAATTAAATTCGTCGTCTTAAAAGGTATACACACGCTGTTTCTCCGAAACGTTAACATCTACTGACGAGACGCCAAAACCCGAGAATCATCATCACCTTCACCGCCGTGAAAACCTCAAATCTCACGAATGAACAACTTCTTTTATCGTGGTTATCTGTGCATCGCTCAGCGCCGAAAAGTAATTAGTCCCCTCTTCGTCAGCGACTGTTACAAACAACTCTTCAAACAATTAGCTTTCTGCAAACTGAAGAACGAGATTGCTGGAACCAGGATACAGCAAGATCTCAGACCGCTAATTCAAATATGGAAATACAGAAATAATTTTATGATGATTGCATTATTTCTCGGAATGTGTGGCTTTCCGGATCCTCGGATGTATCGTCAACCGACTTTTACGTTAAATAGTTTTTAAAACATACCGCCAATGTGAAAAAATAACCATCACATAATAGAAGGCCTAAAACAAAATATTCAGACGTCCATTTCAAAAATCAGTAAAGTAGCTTTCCGTCTCGTCTCGAATCAAACATGCAGAAAAGTTCAATATTGATTCAGGCTCAAAAACGCGACACTGAACTGAACGCGGGCGTTCTATTAAAGAATTTTTGAATGGAACGTGGGCGTCTCACTATCTGGCGGTGAGAAATGCAGCAGCGTTCAAGAACTTAACCGCGTAGGAGGAAACTGAAGTTACTTTCAAGCGATTCGATGAAAGGTTAACAGGAAAACATATTAACTCTATGCGAGTTGAAACAAGAGATATATGGGCCTACAAAAATCATGTAAAGAAAGTAAATAAGAACATGAATATTTTTTTATTTAAACTGGATCTTCACACACACACACAGAGTGAATGGTGCAGAAATCAGAACACAATGGCCATTCTTAAAATACAAACTCTCCGATCGTGGAAGGCGGCAATTTTGAATTCTTCAATTAAAAGAATATTTATTTTTGTGATTGTAAAGATAATTGTAAGCGCCGACTTGAAAAGGAACTAAATTACATGCAAAATCGTAAGGAAGAAACACATTCATTACGTGTTCGCATCTCAAGAGCGTCCTGACTTTTGCACCAATCTGTATAAAGGCCTACACACACAAAAGTTGGGGAACACAACAATCACATCATGAATGCGGTTCCTTTATACGTTTTCCTGTAATAAATGTTCTTTGTGAGAAATGGCCAACATATCTGGAACTCCCAGGATCTCGTCTCTTCTGAACATCACAGGCTACCTCCACAGGTTTACGTCAAACTTAAAGCTGTTCCTATTATTTATTAATCACCATACCACAAAGAAATACGGGGATGCGAAAGTAAAGCTCCACTCATTTCTGATTCTGGTACCATGTAAAATGAGTGACCAGCTTCACGCCCCGTCCGCTTTGTCCTAGAGGAAACAGCTCTCGGTAACCACTGGACAAGACTGGTGGATCCCAGAGCCGGTATGGACGCGATAGCTACGAGAAAGATGTCTTGTCCTTGCTGGGAATCGAAACCCCATCTCTCTAGAATAATTCTAACCCCACTTAGTACCTAATCCTTCACACATAAAACTGTTGCGAAGATAGAAGACGAGACGCAGGCCGCTGTGAAGTACTCACCAGGATAGTGAACTTGCCAGTGTCCAGTTCGCTCTTGAGCGGCTCTCGACTTGGATCGAAACGAACAAGACCTTCCCGATGTCGGGTAGCTTCGTGCTGTTCGTATAATGCCACGGCGCGACTCACGTCGAACTTCCGTGCAGCCAGGAACTTGACAGCGGTAGCCCAGGACACAGGGCCGGCTCTTCGGCGACGTCGAAGCCGATTAACCTCATCTATGAAATTCTTGGTGGCCTGTGATAAGAGTTACTTGTCAGCTCAAAGTTAAGAACCCCCCAAAATGGCTTTTGCACCACAGGACTAGGGCAATTAAGAATTGTGAAAACAGTGTACTCCCTGAAATATTTGATACAGAGTGTTTTACAACCGGTCGGCCCTACACGCGGAGGGGTGATGACTCGAGAAGTAATTTCGAAAAAAAAAATTGGAAGAAACAACATTGGTTCTATTTCCATTCGATACGAACTATGGAAGTTTAAAGAATAAGAATAAGAATACGGGCTTTGATGAATAAAATGTACGTCTGCTTATGATTCATTCAATTCTGTCCCCAGTTTCTACGCCTTCACTTGCATTGCTAACATCACTTCGTGAGATGTTGCCCGTTCAAGAGCGATTCGCGGACTGAGGTGGAAAGTGCGACATTTACGCGAACGGGCTGGTTACATGCAGGGTCGCCGCGCGAAGCTCCATGAAAAACCTTCCAAATAAAATCAGTGGGACATTGCAGTGTTAGGAGCTCAACAGCGAATGTGGATGGAGAGGCGACCGCTGCAGATTACAAGTACTGTCAACCAGCATGCTGAACTATAAACCTGACTTCAACATACGTACGAATCCTTATACTTTAGATGGTTAAGACTTTTGATTCGTATTTAGTAGGTCCTCGGTTCGAGCATCAGTCATGAGAAAAGCTATCCTGATTTTAACTTATGTGGTTATCCTCAGACTTTCCAAGTAATAAACAGGACAGGACCGCTCCCTTCAATATTCTTATTAATTCACCAGTCACCCTGTTATTCGAAGCTAAATACGTAACTACCGCAGTTATAAGTCAGCAGATAAACAAATAGCACATCTAAAATGCTTCAAATTTAGATTCCACCTTGAATCTACAATCCATGTATTATTCGCATAAAAATGTCCTAGGTGGAATACGAAGCCGGATTTATTTACTGTATAGTAATGAGTTAGTTTTGTGAACCCTGTTTGGTGCACATAAGGGACAGATAGCCTGTTCATTATAGAATCATGTTACTTTTTAGTCCTATGAAAGTTGGAAGCCGGAGTGACTAAGATACACGTCTTCACGGCGTGGTGCTTAATTAAGCACCAAATACAACTTCATTTTCAACCACAAACATAAGGAAGTTTGGTGTTTCAGCAAATATAAAACAAATTTCCTTTACATATGTAATTTCGAAACAGTCACACAACCATTTTCTTTATCAAAACTTCATTTCAATGTACATCATACGAACTGTTAACGAGAATGCGTTGCGACATCACTGTTTTCGAACCCTGGTTAAATGTACAAACACTCTATCTCAGTGGTATTCAACCTTTTTTGTTCGCGTACCCCCGATATAATTTCTCTTCAACTTTGTACCTCCAAAGTTGTTGGTGTATAATTCAAGTTATACATAGTATATAATCTACATCTAAAATAAATTAAATAAATTACATTACTGATTATTCCGTGTTTATCATAAAATAATTTTTTTTTAAATTTAACGTACCCCTTAAGATGTCTTGGCGTACCCCCGAGGGTACGCGTAGCCCAGGTTGAATACCACTGCTCTATCACTCACTGAAATGTCCGCCAGTTTTATTTTCTATAGTTGGACTGCAGACACCAGTCAATAATATAAACCTACTGTAATGATCTCCCTTCGGGAATGACGAGTAGAGAGGGGGGACTGAGTACAATATGATTCTGGCAGCTGATGCGGACAAGGGCAGACTTGACGGGAACTCAGTGTTTACATAATTTTATAGAAACACGGTTACCATTTCTAGGTATTCTCTAACGTCCAGGCTATTTTCAGTCTCGAGGCAGGTTTCAAAGCATTTGGCACACGGACAGCCATGCTATGGAGATTTGGGTAAATGCGTTGTCTGATCAAGTAGCTGGTGGCTGCGAGAACAAGACTGGCCATATAGCAAAAGGAACACACTCGTGCAACATGAAAACGATTTATTTAAACAACAAGTAGGCTTATATCTTGATCTTGTCAGAGTTCCATTTTTAATTGAAAGTCCAGTTTCGCGGTACCATCACGGCATGCACTCATCATGTAATTTTCCAAATACCTTCGTTTCTTCGCCACTCTTTTGTCCAAATATCTCCTTCAATATTCTTTCTTCCCTCAAAGCGAAACCAATCCGATATGTATCTCAAGGAAGAACAAACATGCACTGGTGAAGATATATGGACTCGAGAAAAGTTAATAAAATTCTAAAAAAAATACATAATGAAGTTGGGGCTACTCGTGGAATACTGTTGCAGTGTCTACGTGAAGAACGAAATGACAATGTAGAGGAAGTGAGAAATACATACAAAAGTCTTGTCGGAAACCCCCAAAGAGAAGAGACAACTTTCGAGACCGAAGCGTAGAAGACAAAACCACATTTATACCGATTTTAGAGAAGCCATAGGAAATTTTCGACTTTCAATTAGCTGCCTTCAATAGTATCAACACGGTGTTCGCAAAAAAGTACTGAGTTGCGAACAATTTCCAACAGGAATAATCAGAGATCCGCGAAAAATACGTTGATGTAGGTTTTATTTACAATATAAAATAGCAATATCATACTTGCACTTTAGTTTACTGTTAAATAATCATGACACCGAGCGCCACAACGTACGAAATATTCAATTCGTCATACCTGGTAAAGAAATCTCATATCAGGAATACCAACCGAATCGTATCTATTTATTTCGTTTATTTAACAACCCTTTCAGTATTCAGACTAAAGGTCCGATGGAAATGAATAATGAACTGGAAAGGATATGGAAGCTGTCGTGGCCTATTTTAAGGCGATGTTCCGGATGTTGCCTGGGGGAACTAAAAGAAATCACGAAAAACATCAGGCAAGATAGCCGGTCTGCTGACCGATATTCGAACCCGGAACCTACCGAACAGGAAACAGGAGTACTAACCACTCGGCCACAACGTTCGGTGAACCGAACCCTTTCCGTGAGATAAAACCGCTACGAATTTCACAATTGTACAGAACCTGAAGTGAACAATTACCAAGTTCTGCGAAAAACGTATATTGTACACATTCCTTTAAATGGTTTCGTCTGTTGAGAAGAATTGGCATATTTTAACAAGAAGTTGACCAAATGTAATGTTCCACGGTTCTTCACCTCCCAGAAGTTACAATGAGAACCAAAGTAATACCTATGGACGAGGGCCAATGAGAAGCTTAAAAGGTTTAGGCCTATTTCGGTTTCCGGTGCAGAAGATAATTGAACTTTCACTTCCTTGATCTCACTTCCCTCACTTCTCACAAGGTACACGTACATTCGCAAACGAGATTCCAGGTTCTCACTGCGACGAATATGAAGACAGCCAGCTGTCTTCATAGTTGTTACGTCGCGTACTCTGATAGAAGTTTACAATGCTTTCAGACGTACCCGCTTTCTCCATCATTAACGCCCTGATAACTGAGGTAGCAAGTACCTCTGAAACGTCGGTAAACTTCTACCAGCCACCTTCGGGTATATTCATAGGGCAATAATCTACATTTCACTGCTATTTATTTTTCGTTACAGTAGTATAATTTTCCGATACCCGTAAACAAAACTGATGGATGCTTTTTTTATTTTAATGATTGCAGCTGTTACTTATTTGGATCAACACCCGCGACCATCACCGTAGAAATGCTCCCATTGTTACCTAGCAACCATCGACTGACTACTAGGACAGTGGGGGGGAAATTTACTAAGCTCAAACGTTCCCTTCATAACACAATGAATGGTGGAGTTCTGCTACCAACCACTGCCCTGCCATCCAAACAAAACCAAAAACACAAACTGGATATTCCAGAAATAACAATATGGAGGTATATTACCAAAATATGTTGAGAAATCACTAGGATTCTGTGGGAAGGCATTTTTATTTATATCAATAGATGACAGAAAATAAATAATAACAGACTAAAATATTACTGCTGCAAGGAGAATATTTTAACAATCCTGAATCTAATTATTCTGCTTGCACCTACTGACGTCGTTATGGTCATCCTCTACGTTGCAGAAAGAACGTTCTTTCGAGAACTTCGATGTTCTGAGTATAAACTCAGTCTAAATGTAGGGGAACTAGACAACTATTATATACTGAACATGTAATTATGTCTATTAAAGTAGGCCTTAATAGACTGAACAGATGCTTTGAAAACCATAATATTATATCACGTATCAAACAAGCGACAGCTGGAGCAACATAGCAGAAATCAGGACAACCAGACGTATCCTGACAGGGATACTGAGTACAGTGGTGAGGAGCTAATCTCAATGAAATCTCGGGCGATAAACCGCAACAGCTGTGGACAAAAGCCCACAACGTTTGTCCACAATCGACACAGCTTGCTGCCCGAGAATATTTTATTGAGTTCAGTCGCCGTGAAAGCTTCAAGTCTTACATGAGCTAATCCCAGTTTATTATAATCTGCAAGCAACAGTGGTCTTAATCCACTTTATTAAAAGAGAAAACCTGTTAGCCTAATAGCACTTTGTAATGTTCTAAAAGCCACAAACTTTTAGATAAAAAACGTGTGGCTTAGCCAGCCTCTGTGCTAAAACAGAATGCGATAATGAGATTTCATTTCGAGTTTCCCAAAAATATGGGTTAGCCCACTGTTGTTCCCAGGTCCTCGTATGCAATAAACGCTAGAAGGCAGTTAATAAGTAATTAAAGTGATATATGAGGATAAAACAGGAAAGAGCGAAACTCGTAAATAAATTTTACGGAGGATACGTGACGAAAGAACTTGCAGAATATGAATGCCCTGCAACAAACGGCGAGTTTAATGATTGAAGAGGTCAGTGGAGATGGAAATATATCCTATGACGACAATACCTGAAGTTCCTTTGATCTCATAAATTAAGATGCGACAGTTATCATCAGATAGTAATTTTACAGCCACAGTCGCCCAAGAAACATGTTCGAATGTGAACTTACTTAATTTTATTGTTACCGCTTGTTTAACGACGCTTTCAGTATATC